TGAATATGTTTCATGAAAACCCCTTCTGAAGGTGAAGATCTTTGAATCCTTTGGATGACCTGAATGACGGCGAAGAGTATGATATGATATGGGATGTTCTCCTCCAGTCATTCATACTCATCATCATCAACATCAACATCATCATCACATCTTCCTCCTCATCCAACATAATCATCTCATCTTGTTAGTACCGAATGATTCTGACCTTTCAGGTATGTGTCTGTGTCTGTCTCTCTCTCTCTCTCTCTCTCTCTCTCTCTCTCTGCGCAATCCTGAATCATCATCTTCAAACCACCTTCAAAATCAAACATCTCTATCAAACTACGAGGGAAATCCCCTACTCGAGACCTTTCTTCTCGTATCCTTGGCGTCTCTGCTATCCTCACTCAGGCCGTCTGTCTCTCTATGCCGCTGTTAAGAGGATGGAGGTTGACGATGCGAGATGCCTTTTCTCTGTTCTCTGCAGTGATCATCTCGAAAATCAGGGATGGGAATCATTAATCTCGGCAATAGGGTGTTGATGAGATTATCGTAGACCGGCAAAGAGTGGGTTCGTGGTCAGGGAGAGGATAGAGAAGGAATTACAGTGTCTGAACCGATTGAAAAGAAGCAGAAAAGAAGAAGATGATGATGATGATGATGATGATGAAAAATAACCCTTAATGCCATGTGTATATCTTCACACTGAATGAGCGTCGCTGCAAATCCAGACTCAATAACATTCTCCAACTTCCAACAGATCAAACGCTCCATACCGATTGCCCATTCCTGAAAATGCATACAATGCTTTCTCCGTCTTGGCCAATATGCTCTCCTCCTCCCCCATCCTTCTCATTTCTTCCTTATCCTTTTCGTCGTCATACTCTTTCTCCTCCTCCTTTTTCCCCTCCTCTCCTTCTTCTCCTTCTCCTCCTCCTCCTCCTCCTCCCCTATCATCCTTCTTCTGACTCGCTCGTCTAGCCCGCTCCCTCTCCCTCCCTCTCTCCCTCTCCCTCTCCTTCTCCTTCTCCCAAACCCCCTCTAATGCCCAAGCCACTCTCTCAGCACCTAATCTCGCCCCTTCCAAATTCGGTGCACCAGGACCTAGATGCAAAGCAGCCAATCTGCCCGTAAAGAAGAGCGGAACACCAGGAAAATACTCCAGATCCGTAGTAAGATGAGGAAACCCACAGGGAGTCATCGGCGCCGGATACGTTCGGAGCATAGTCTTGAGGAAATCCATCTCATCCAAGCGAGCATTCATGCCTGTTGCAAAGTATATATAATCAATTTGATCATGCGGGAATCCTTCAATCGGATTATCTGTTTCCAAAGTCCATGACATGCTCTGTTTATCAAACGAGTGCGAAGTGACTTGCGTGTGCGTGCATAATTTGACGCGACCAGAGGTGATGTGTTTCTTGATGTCCTTGTGGATTTTCGGATTAATGCTGCCTCCTTGTCGTGCTTCGTTGTACATTTCAAGTTTCTCTTCAACCGTGTCGGCCGACCAGAATATGGCCTTCTCGTAGTTCCGGAATTTGCCTACCCACTTGAGACTCATATCAAAATGCTTGACTGTATACCGTCTGTTAGCCGGGGTATCATTTCCAGGGGTCGGGGCGGCAGTGCATGAAAAGGGGAATAGAAAAAGGGGCAAGGGAAATCCATCTCTCTCACCTTTCAGAGGACTCCTCATTATATACCAGACCCTCGTAACCCCTTTCTTCACCAAATTATCAACAACCTGCGAACTCGTCAATCCACCTCCGATAACAACAACATCAGTTTGAATCCCCTTCTTAATCTTCTCACGAATATGAGACGGCAAGAATCTCCCTTCCTCAATCTCAAAACTATGGACTGAACCGAGCATCTCATCCGGTGTGAGTTCCCAAGGTAGATGTTTCTTCAATCCAGGACCGACTGCAACGACGACTGCTTTCGCGTAGAATGTACGCTTGTCGGCCGTGCGGACGGTGAAAATCTTGGTGTCGGGTAACCCGCTCCCGGGAACGATGGAATATGTTAGGTCTGTGACTTCTGCTTGCCGGACCATGGTGTTTGCGTCGAGGTCGTATCGCTCGACGATGCTGTTGCAGTAGTCTGAGAAGAGAGAGGAAGATGGACACCAGTAGTCCTTTCTATCTCGTTCGTCTATTTCGACTTCACGGGGTCTGCAAAAAGGTGGATCAGCAAAGATCGAAAAGAAGAAAGAGAGGGAGAGAGACAGAGAAAGGCAATTCACCTATGCTGACTCCTAGCATGTTTCATCATCATCTTCTTCTTCTTTCGATGTTTGCTCATCTCTTGTCCCACGCAGCCATGCAATTCCCACAGCTCCTTTTCACGACCAGTCTCCCTCGCATAAGCCAGCATACCATCTCTATCCATAGGATCTACATGGAAAAACATGGGACTTCTCAGGTGTGATATTTCGTAGGTGTTGAACAGACGATTCCAACGTGACAGCCATTGTTTGCCAGACGAGTCAAGAACGAGTATTGATTTATCCGCATTAACCATGTGCTCGTCTTTCATCTTCAGTTTCGTCTTCCTCTTGAACTCCTCTCCTTCACCTCCATTTCCACCAATTGAATCCTTACAGCACGACGGGCTGATGTACTTTTCGGAGTTCACTCCACGTATCTTCCTTCTCGCCTGGACTATCTTCATTTTACCCGTGTGCTTCTTGATCCAATGGTATCGCTGATGTTCGTCGTCGGTGAACATAGCACTGGGCGTCTCCTCCCTGATACGTGCTGCGACGGCGAGGCCGCTGGGGCCGGCACCGATGATCAGGACGTCGAGGAAGGGGATATCATCGTCAATCACATCCTCCTCTACTCCATCTGCAGCCACTGGCTCTGATTCCGAGTCTGAGCAGGAACAGACGGAGGTTCTCGGGGTTGAGAGGGGAGAAGAAGGGGCGGAATCAGGGGTTGATCTGCCGTTGGAGGTAATTTTGTTCATCATGATTGAACCCATTGACTCTACTTCCTCATCCAAGGCCTTCAATTCGCGAGTAAATATTCTTTTTTAAAAGGAAATGAGAAAAGAGAACAATTCAAGAAGATGAAGACAGATCTCATCATCAGCATCTTCATCTGTCCTCCTTCACCCTCCCTTCGGCACCAAGATGCTTAGGGTGCTCTATACTTGATTCGGCTGCTTTCTACCTTTCTTGAAGTTGGGGAAGTACCCTGTGGACAGGATAAGATGAGCCCGCGATACCTTTGGGAAAGCACGGTTTTCTTCACCGGGTCCTCACCCCAAGGCGTTCTTCGAGAGAGAATGACCGCAAATTGAATGGTACAATGCCGGCAGGAAGCAAGTGTTGAAAGAGGGGTAATTCTCAATGAGCCATCAAGAAAGCTGCTGCTGCTGCTGCTGCTGCTGCTGCTGCTGCTGCTGCTGCTGCTGTCGAAGATAGGCACCATCTGTAAAGAAAAAACAGTGGTAAAAGGGGTGTCAAGTTGACGATTGCTCAGAGTTTGGAACGACAGCCTTTCGCGATTGACAAATGATGTAATTCCAACAGCCGATGATGTTGATGGGATGATTTTGGCTTGATGCCAACAGACGTTAGGAATAGCCATTGGCGCAGCTAGACCAACTCCATGCTAGACACGTCTTTTTGTTCCCTCATCATCAACGCGTCACTGGCGTCCTGCTCATCAGCGGTTGTTGTTGAATTCAGACCAGCTTCTGGGTCCCGATCGGGGGGTGTCATCCGCGTTACTGTTCGTAAACTTGCTCCCTGATCCATCACCGGTCTGGCTGGTTACGGGCTATATGGCTTTGTCGATGAAGTCCGAAAGCACATAGTGCTGAACTCTGCCCATTGACCAGGACTTTTTCTTGCTACGATGGATCTTCGTGGCAACACTGGACAACGAACAACCCGATTGAATGGCGAACAGCAACAGGGATTGATGCTGAGACACGGTGTCTTTTGGGAATCAACCACCAAAATTGCCCTTTTCCATGGCTTGGCAAGCACAGATGTTGCCATCTCATATCTGCTGGACTGACATATTCTCGATTGTGAGATGCATATTGCTTGCTCAAGGAGATAGTCAATCATCGCTGCAATTGATGGAGTTAGGACAGGCTGCTTGTGTATCTTATAAGTACACCTTGAAAAGGTTGATTGGTCGGCTGGCCTAATGGTAAGGTGTCCGTTTCCGGTCTCTCTCCCTTTATCCAGACTGCGGAAGATTGCAGGTTCGAGTCCTGCGTCGATCGATTTTGTAATCTTTTTTTTTTTTTTTTTTTCCATCACATTTCTTTCTTGGTTATTCAACAATCCGTTGCACTGCAAATCCAGGTACTTAGGAGGAGTATAAGTTATCAAGCCAGCTACATCATCCGGCGATATCCAAATACCATCCCATGTTGAAATATGGGCGGAGGTAAAGAGAGATGTCATGGTCGACTTGGGTGCAGCCATCGAAACAGAAAGACGGGAGAAATGGTCCTTCGAGAAACAGAGAAAGGTGTCATGGACGCTTGTTGTTTTGTCGTCCAGCAACCATGGACAATGGACAAGAGACAAGACCAATCAGATCATTTCTTGCATTGATTGTCGCATTCGTCTTTGTAATGGCGGATTGGAATCAAACCGTCCTTCTTCAGAGATTCGATATTCTTGGATCTGCTGTATCTTTCTGCAGAGTACTTGGAGCGCCACAAACAAATTGGCAGGGATAGTGTGTTTCTTATCCTATTAGATTCTATACTATTCTCACCATAAGTCACCAACGAGCTTTCCGTCATCTCAATTCGCTTCTGTGGTTCAGGACTTATTTTGAAGTTGTCCTGTCTACGAATCCCTGTCT